AGGCCCTGTTCCACCAGGCCTGGCTTTTCTGTTTTGGAAGGACAACTTTTTTTTTTTTCCCAAAAAATAATATACTATTTTATGTGTATGAATGTAGTGCCTGCATATAGGTAAGTGCACCTGTGTCGTGCAATGCCCGCAGAGGACAGAAGAGGCTTTCGGATCTCCTGGAACTAGAGTTACAGACAGTTGTTAGCTGCCATGTGGGTGCTGGGAATCGAACCCGGGTCTTCTGCAAGAACAGTCTGTTCTTAACCGCTGAGCCATCTCTCCAGCCCTGGAAGGACAACTTTTATGGAATAGGTTCTCTCCTTAGGTAAGTGCACCTGTGTCGTGCAATGCCCGCAGAGGACAGAAGAGGCTTTCGGATCTCCTGGAACTAGAGTTACAGACAGTTGTTAGCTGCCATGTGGGTGCTGGGAATCGAACCCGGGTCTTCTGCAAGAACAGTCTGTTCTTAACCGCTGAGCCATCTCTCCAGCCCTGGAAGGACAACTTTTATGGAATAGGTTCTCTCCTTCTACTTTGAGGAGGATTCCAGGATCAAACTCAGGTTATCAGGCTTGTGCAGCAAGTGCTTTACCTGGTGAGCCATCTCACCACCCCAATGTAAAGTTCTTTAAAAAGTTCTCAGCAAGCAAAAACCTTTAGTTCGTTCTCCCCCTTTTTGCCTAGACACAAGTTCTGCCTGGAGCTGTGCTACCTTTATGATAACTGTCTTGAAGATGAGAGCTAATGATGGCTGAAAAGCAAGAGGCACCTGGAACACGGGTGATATAATGGAGCCATCATGCTGTTCACCTTTTTTAAGCCATTATTTTCAGGCTTGTTAGTTGCCACTAAATGCTCTTATTAAAAACAGATATCACTTAATTTGCATCTTAATCCTCAAAAAATTCTTTGGGACTTCTTACACAAAATAAAGAAAATGAGGCTCAGAGAGGTTATAACTTCCTCAGGGTCGGAGAGTTGTTAAGTGGTGGGCCTAACGTTCAGGAACATTTAGCTCTCTGACTGCTCTTTCCAATATTAGTTATGTTACCATCACAGCCATGTACACCTATGTGCCAAAGAAAGGCGCAACTAGAATACTCACTTTCCAAATACTGTGTATTTCATGTCCAAATGTGGCTGCTTGCCATAAGTGATGAAGAACTGAGATCCATTCGTATTCGGGCCATTATTTGCCATAGATACAACACCTCTAACACTGTGCTGAAAAAGACACACCAAAGCATTAATGTGACTTTTTGTTTTGTTTTTGTCTTTTTGAGACAGGGTTTCCCTGTAGCTCCAGCTGGCCTGGAACTTATTATGTAGACCAGGCTGACCTCAAACTCGAGAGATCTACCTGCCTCTGCCTCCCCAGTGCTGGGATTAAAGGCATGCACCATCATGCCCAGCTTTGATGTAACTGTTTTTAACGGTATATTCCAAATATAGGATTGAAATAATACATGTACTCGTTACCTTCCCAATATTTAGGGGACTAAGAAATCATTTAGCTAGCTTCTACTAGGATTAATCCAAATGTCCACATTGTGTATTATGTCTATGCCTGAAAAAAACTGCTTATATAATCATCATATCCTCCAATTAATTTCATTTTCATTTTGCAGAAGTACATCCACAAACACTTTTAATGCTTCCAATGTATAACAGAAATGATCCTTACATTTATATTAATGAATAGTGTGATGGGATGAAACGATCAGGCAACAAAACCAAAATCCCCATAATCTCTTCTCACATAGTGGGCTCTTGCTAGTTTCTTTATCTGTAAAACAAGGGAGGGTGGACTAGTTCAAGGGTCTATTCAGGTGCTCACAAGGGTCAAGCAGATAGCAAACTGACAACTGGGAAGAATATAAACACTGGGCAGAGTTGGGGTGTGGCAAAGCCAATAGTGATCTCTTGCCTAAGGAATGCATCTGTGAGTCTTCCTCTCATGGGCAGTCAATTTATTACCCTAGAGCTGGATGATCTAAGAAAGGTATTATCAATACTATTTGTTCTCAAGGCATGCTAAAGGCATGCTATATGATAATTAAAAATACCTTACTGAAATAAATGAAGATACGACTGAGCTGTGCTACAGGGACATACTCAAATTAACAACAACAAATATACTTCAGCAACCTCCACTGATTACTCTAGTATTAGTTGCTCATCAGGTGACACTAGTTAGACAAGCTAGAGAGGTGCAGCCAAGTCACAATATTGATGCTTTATTATCTCTGTAAAAGATGACTACTACCCAGGTGTGGTGGCATATGACTAGCATCTTAGTACATGAGAAGCTGAGATAGGAGGATTTTGAGTTTGAGACCAGCCTGGGCTACATAGTGCAAAAACTACAGTATGCTTTTTCACTACTGAATATGCTAAAATGTATTCAATCTACAAATAATGGATATCTGGGGTATTTCAGGACCTTTCCTACTACAAACAGTACATTATATCACTCCTGACATGTCTCTTGGTATACATGTGTATGTAAGAGTTTCTCTCAAGTACATAGTTAAGTGAACCTTTAATACCCAGCCTCAACTTTGGTGTGTACAATAACTTTTTGTTTATGTTTTGAGACAGCAGGCAAGCCTCAAATTCACTATGTAGCTAAGAATGACAGATTTCTGATCCTCTTGCCTCTACCTTCCAAATGCTGAGATTACAGGTGTGCACCACCATGCACTGTTTATGTGGCTCTAAGGGTTGAACCGAGGCTTTCTTGCATTCTAGTGCACTCTACGAACTGAGCCACATCCCCAGCTTAAGGAAAAGGTATAGCTTAGGCTGATCTCAAATTAGTGATTCGCCTGCCTCATCTTCAGCATTTCCCTACCAGCATGCACCACAACTGGCATTATTTTATTTCTATTTATTTATCTAAGGTTTATTATTATTATTTTAAAATATTTTATTTTTTTAATTTTATATGTATGCATGTATTGCCTGCATGTAGGTAAGCGCGCCCATGTCATGCAATGCCCATGGAGGACAGAAGAGGCTGTGTCCTTTGGAACTGGAGTTACAGACAGCTGTTAGCTGCCACATGGGTGCTGGGATTTGAACCTGGGTCATCTGCAAGAACAACCAGTATTCTTAACAGCTGAGCCATCTCTCTAGCCCCCTTGGGCTGTCTTTTTTTCTGCTGCATGTTTTTGACACCTTTGTGAAAAATTAGGTGTCCATAGATTTTTTTAATGAATTAGGCAAAAATTTTATTTCCAATATTGTCTGCATGTGTGTAAGTGCACCCATGTCGTGCAGTGCCTGTGGAGGTCAGAAGAGGGTGTCTGATCCCCTGGAACTGGAGGTACGGACAGTTGTTAGCTGCCCTGTGGGTGCTGGGATTCAAACCCAGGTCTTCTGCAAGAACAGCCAGTGTTCTTAACCACTGAGCCGTCTCTCCAGCCCTATTTTTATTATTCTTAATCATGTGTACTCCTGTGTCTGTAGGCACCCACAGAGGCCAGAAGAGGGTGTCAGATCCCTTGTACCTGGAGTTATAGATGGTTGTGAGCTGCCTTACATGGGTCCTAGGAACTGAACCCAGGTCCTCTGGAAGAGCAGCCAGTGTCCTTAACCACTGAGCCATCTCTCCAGTCCCTGGCACTAGATTTTTTATTTAAAAAAAAAAAAGACTATTTTTTTGAAAATAACATTTTATTCTTTTTTCCCCTTAATGTATATATTTTTTGAATTTTTGTGCATTTCATACATTAATCATATCTAGACCACCCTCCCCTATCTGCACTCACCTATAGTCCCACCACTGGATTCCATGGATTCTGTCATATATGTTATGAACTACAAAGTCAAGTTTGTGTACCCTAATGTCCCTTAGTGTGAGTTCATTTACTGGAGTTTACTGAGTCAAAGTTTTGCTAAATAGTCCAGCACGGCTCAAACTTGGAATCCTCTTGTCTCAGCCTTTTGAGTGCTGGGATTATAAGCATGTGTCACCATGTCCTGCTTTAATAACTAAAATTTTTTTTTTTTTTTGGTCTTTTTGAGACAGGGTTTCCCTGTAGCCCCCGCTGGCCTGGAACTCACTAGACCAGGCTGTACTTGAACACAGAGATCTGCCTGCCTCTGCCTCCCGAGTGCTGGGACTAAAGGTGTGTGCCACCATGCCCAGCTTTAATAACTGAATTCTTAAAAATTTTGTGTGTATAAGTGTTTTGCCTGCATGTATGTGTGAGTATCACATGCACGCAGTGCCCACAGAGGTCAGAAGAGGGTGTTGGAGCCCCTGGAACTGGAGTTACAAACAGTTGTTAGCCACCATGTGAATGCTGGGACATTAACTATTAAATACTTCAGGTTGGACTTGACAAACTCTTTTAGTCTAACAATACAGATGACGATGAGACTCCAGGTCCTATGTGAAACTAGAACTGCCACTTAGGTCTTCACTCTGATATCACTTATTCAGTACACACTACAAAGTCTACTAATCTCATAACGTTAATGTGTTACAACAATATATAGATCAAAATTTCCAAGTGTAATCAAACATAAGGAAATAAAATTCTGGAGCACAGGGATATACCTTTAGATATTCACTGTATTCATCCTCAAACTTCTTGCCCCAGATACTGTTACCTCCTCTTCCAGTACCTGTATATGAGACAAGCATATGAAAAGAATTGTCCAATTAAATGAATAAAATGTCTAAAATGTCATTGCTGCTTATACCATAGTATGGATGTAGGTATTTATTTATATATGGTGGAGATCAAACCTATAGCACTGCACATGCTAGGCAAATGCCTTACCACAGAGCTGCACCTCCAGCCCTAGCAGAACTCTTTAAATCCAAATACGTATGTGTGTATATCAAATTTATTACTGAGGTTTGGACACAAGTGCTCTACCACTGAGTTATGTATCTCTAGCATCCTTACCTTTTATGTTTTTTTAACATTTTGAGGAAGGATTTCCCTAAATTGTCCAGGCTGACCTTGAACTTGTAATCCTGCCTTAGCCTTCCAAGGACCTGCGATTAAAGGTCTGCACATCATATGTCTTCTAGCAATCTTGGGGACCAAATTAACTGTACAGACCAGAAAAATAATATATCCTCACAACAAAGAGAAAACTCTCCTTAGTAATACTGCTCATATTTTATGGCCAGGTGCAAATAACTTCTTTCTAAAAATTTCTTGCTACTGATTGGGCTACAAAAAGCATAAACTTCATAATAAATATTATGGTACATATTTGTAATCCCAGTACTCATGAGATGGTGGCAGGACCGTATGTTCAAGGCAAATCTGGGCTACATGGTGAGATGCTGTTTCAAAAAAAATCCCCAAAAGGCCCTAAACTTTCTTGCTACTTTTAAGGTAGCCCTGTTATAAAAACTATACATAGCTGGGTGTAGTGGCGCATGCCTTTAGTCCCAGCACTTGGGAGGCAGAAGCAGGCAGATCTCTATGAGTTCAAGGCCAGCCTGGTCTACACAGTGAGTCCTAGGCACCAGCTGAGGCTACAGGAAGACCTGTCTCAAAAGAGACCAAAACAAACAAACAAACAAACAAAAAAAGCCCCAAAAACTATACATGTTTTATTTTTGAATTATTTTACCCTCTTTTTTTTTGGTCTTTTTGAGACAGGGTCTCCCTGTAGCCCCAGCTGTCCTGGAATTCACTATGTAAACCAGGCCGGCTTTGAACTCACAGAGATCCGCCTGCCTCTGCCTCCCAAGTGCTGGGATTAAAGGCATGCGCCACCACGCCTGGCTTTATTTTACCCTCTTTTTATACAATCACTCAACTTTTCTAATTTCAGTTAGTGGAAAAACTTACCTGTTGGATCTCCTGTTTGAACCATGAAGCCCTTGATATTCCTATGAAATATACAGCCATTGTAGTAATTACTGGCACAAAGAGCCAAGAAATTCTGAAGAAAATAAAAATGATTGACAAACGGTTCCACAGAAACATACTTCAGATAAAGAACCAATGGTACCTACTGAAAACACTAGTAGCTTATTGAACTATAACTTTAGGCATTAGCTTCTTATTCTCAAGTATTACTTTTTTAAATAGGACCTGTCCTCACTTCCTTGAGTAACTCCTTTCCTGTTAGTGTTTTTATATTTATTTCCTTCAAGGCATTATCCTCTTTTGGAATTTCTCTCTCTCTTCTTTCTCTGTCTCCCCAAGGTCTTCTTATAGAGCTCTGGCTGGTCTAGAACTCTATGTAGAGGCTGACCTTGAACTCAGAGATCCATTTGCTTCTACCTCCTGAATGCTGGGATTAAAGGTGTGCCCCACTACACTTAGCTCTTATATTAATGATTACATTTCCTGAAAATATGAGTCAAAGAATAAGGATATTGGATACTTCAGAATTATAAAAAAACTATGCACCTTCTCTTATTTAAAAAAAAAAAAAGGGACGGGGTAGGTTCGGAGAGATGGCTCAGCAGTTAAGAACACTGGTTGTTCTTGCAGAAGACCCAGGTTCAAATCCCAGCACCCATATGGCAGCTAACAACTGTAACTCCAGTTCCAGGGGATCCGACAGCCTCTTCTGTCCTCCGTGGGCACTGCACAACATGGGTGCACTCACCTACATGCAGGCAATACACGCATACACATAAAATAAAAAAATATAATTAAAAAAATTTTTTGAAAAAAATTTGGTTGGAGAGATGGCTCAATGGCTAGAGTACTGGCTGGTCTTACAGAGGACCCAAGTTCAGTTCCCAGCAACCACATGGCAGCTAACAACTGTCTGTAACTCCAGTTCCAGGGTCTCTGCATGAAGAAGTTAGAGGTCACTGAATATCCTAATTTGTCACTTGCCCTTTTCCTTTGAGGTGGGGGGGGGTCCTCTCACCAAACCTGAAGCTGGGTTGGTGGCCAGGAAGCCCCAGAAATTCTCCTGTATATGCTCTCCCCCAGCACTGGGCTTAGTGTAATAGGGCACCTTCTTGATCATGTTAAAGTTTAGGCTGACTTTAGTTTCTGAAATTATCAGGCAGTTGGCCCAGGGTATGGGAACACATGCCAGCTGGACCCTGGTTGTCTTGGAAACAGGTCAGAGCATCCTAGAGTGTTCCTGCTAGCTGCAGATTTACGGCTTCTGTAGGTTATGCTTGGCTTGCTCTTGCAAAATAGTAACTGTTGCTTAATAGAATAGAAATTATTAAGGGGACTCTCCACCTGTAAGCTTGGGAACTTAAACTTTTCACTCCTGGTTATAGTTTCTCTGTACAAGAAGTACCCCACAGCAGGTTGGAAGACTTAAGGAAACTTTAAAAGATCAGGTTCCTAGGATACAACTGCTATAAAACAAACCCCCCCTAGAGGGAACTTTGTGACCAGTAAAGGCAATGTACCATGACTAATGTAGAATAACAGTAAGATTGATAATGTCTGTTTATGAACGAGGAAGAAGCTAGTTCCATGCGGGTGTACTATGGTTTCGGTGGAAAATTGTATTTTCTTATGCTTTTCTTTGATAATGTTTGCTCAAGCTTAATGCTCAATGATTGGCTTCTGTATTCTGTCTGCTTGCTTAGCAACATAAGCAATATAAAAGAGCCAGAGTGCTTAGGCTTGGGGCTGCATGTGGACCCTCTAGGAAAGAGTGTAGTTGGGCCGTAATAAGTCTTTCTTTCTCTAGATTCACCTGTCTGTTTATCTGGTTGGGGCATTTATGGATCACAGACTGTAACACTTAGAGAGAAATGTGACCAAACCTGGCTTTTACTGTGGGGTCTGGGGATCTGATCTCAGCGTGTCCTGTTTGCAAGTGCTCTTACTCTGTGAGTTAGCTCCCTAGTCCCAAGCATTTTCTCTTTGATTTACTTCTGACAGCAGGAAATGTGGAAATTAGACCTGAAATTATGATGAGCTTTTCCTGACAATGGCGTCACAAAAGGTTTGTTATCATTTCTTAAATTACATGATTTGGGCTGGAGAGATGGCTCAGCGGTTAAGAACACTGGTTGTTCTTGCAGAAGACCTGGGTTCGAATCCCAGCACCCACATGGCAGCTAACGACTGTCCATAACTCCAGTCCCAGGGGATCTGACAACTTCTTCTGACTTCTGACCTCCGTGGGCATTGCATGACATGGGTGTACTTACCTACGTGCAGGCAATACACACATACACATTAAAAAAAAAAAAAATTACATGATTCAAATTTAGAGGGGTTATCCTGTTATATTAGTTGATTTTTTAATAGATAAATAATGATACCTCACATGTTTTGGGTGTCCTCTCGCAGAAGACTTCTATTTTGATATCTCCCACATCTGTATGCAAGGTCACAGACTAAAAAAGAAGCCAGTGAGAACAGATGAGATTTCTTCCAGTGACTACTGGTACTCATCTCTGATGCAACATTTGAGATAACAATCTGATTAAAGATAGAAATACTGTTTTAGAGGTGATTCTTTTACATAAAGCAGCTCTGACAAATTGTACTTCTTTCTCCAAATTTACTTCAATAGCAGGGAAAAACAACTCTAGAAGATACATACGAATGAAAAGTGTCATCTTTGCTAAAATTTGGAAGCAAATGTTGTAGTCGAAATAATTTACTTTGGACATTTCATGAATTAAAACGATTGTTACATTAGTATTATTGATTTATATGTTCCAGCACCACTAATATTTACTGAAGAATATAAAGAAATTGATTTTTATTTTTCAAAACAGTTTCCACCATTTCCTTTAGGTAGTTTAATTCTGAAAAAATAGGGCTAAAAAGCAATTCCTTCATTTACTAAAGACAAAAACCAGAAAGTTGTCAGTGTTTCCAAATCCTAAATGTACAGAGTTAACCACAGTGCACTTAAACTGGAGTTACAGTTGTTAGCTGTCATGTGGGTACTGGGAATTGAACCCTGGTTCTCTGCAAGAGCAACCAGTGCTTCTAACCACTGAGCCATTTCTCTAGCCACTGTATCCCTGTTCTTGACTTCAAGTCCTACTTGTTCTTAGACCCAGAGGAAAAGGATACAATGTTTGTTTGCTTGTTCATTACTTTTTGTTTTTTGGTAAAGTCTCACTATGTAACCCTGGCTGACCTGGAACTGGAGTTCACTGTAGACCACCAGACTGGCTGCAAATGAGTGATGGGATTACAGGCCTCTGTCACCACATCAGGCAAGGATAAGTTTTACACCCAGTTATTCTCTTCTGCTTCCTTCCTTCCTTCCTTCCTTCCTTCCTTCCTTCCTTCCTTCCTTCCTTCCTTCCTCC